TAAGCCTTAGACCTAATAACTAATCAAACGCAATATATTTTTTAAGCATGCCCGCATGCCCATGTATTCAACTTATGGGCATTAAATATTTTTTAAGTTAACTTTTTTCCTCGGATGGATGTAACTTTTTCTATGAAACAAAATTAAATTAAAAAAAATCCCCATTATAGATCAAAACAAATATTTACGGCTAGATCCATCAAGAAGTTTTTTTTAGTAATAGTCATAACTAGCCAAATAGTTTAAAAAGATTTGATAAAAATAATTGAAATGGCTAATGAGTTTAACATTTCCTTCGTTGTATTTCATTATGATTTCTTTCCTTATTTTGTGTAGGTGACTTATTATGATATAATTAGGATAAATTGCTTTACTTCTTGTATACACAATGTGACCGTGCTTCCTTAAACTGAAGAAGAAGGTAAAATTGTAGCAATGGTCCCTAAAATAAGGCCTCACTTTACTTTTCGTCTCTCAACCCCAAAAAAACTAACAGAACTGACGAAAAGTATGAGTGGTGCAACGCGATATCTAATTGAATGATGACCATAACAATTTTTGGGGTTGAGGGCCGAAAAGTAAAGTGGGATCTTATTTGAGAGACCATTGCTACAATTTTGCCGACGAAGAATATAGTCTTTGTTACCCTATATCCATGTTTTACAAATTTTACCCTCATTAAAATTTGTCTTTAATAGCCAACGAGATTTAGCCCAGTGGAAAAGGGTCTTGACTTGCAGACCAATGGTCTCATGTTCGAACTCCCATGACACCTAGGTGGTGTGTGTAAGAAACCTCATTCCCTTGTAGTTTAAACTATCGCTATTATTAAAAAAAAATTATTTGTAATAAAATTTAAATAAGAAGTATCTTCACAATTTCTCTCCACTCTCCCTTCTTCTCTAATTACTATCATCTTCATCACTCTCTTTATCTCTCTTTGTATGTTTGACATTACTATTGCTTGTAATAAAAAAAATTATTTTAATAAACTTTAAATCAGAAATCTCTCCATAATTTTCTCTCTACCCTCCCTTTCTCTCTAATAATTATATACCATCACTCACTTTTTCTCTCTTTGTATGTTTGACATTACTTTTAGAATGATTAGAAGCACTTTCAACTTGTGACATAGTTTGGGACTGCTTATTTAGGAAGCACTTATGCTCATAATCGCTTTTATTATAAAGACGTTGAAATTTTCATAAGCAATCCAAGTACTTTTTGGGAGTGTTTTATGAAGAAGCACATAACAGGTGCTTCTCTAGAAGCACTTCTTAATTTTTCTGTCAAACACTATAAGAAGCAGTTTTGGTTGTCAGAAAACACTTTTAGCCTTTCCAAAATCACTCCCATACAGGAGTGTTTTTGGACTATAAAAGCACTTTTCAGTGCTGGCTTGAGAAGAACTTAGCATGTGTTTTTTCCAGGTAGCACTTGATTCCTTTTTATAAAAACTTTAACATACTTTTAACAAAAGTGACTATGTGCAAACATGCTTCTTACATAAGCACTTACAAACAAGCTCCTCTTACAATAACTACGCCCTATGCTGGTGAGAGGTTTTTTGAAATAGTTTAACATACTTTTAACAAAAGTGCCTATGAGCAAACACACGTATAAACAAGCTCCTCCTACAATAACTACACCCTATGCCAATATGGAGTCAATCAAACGATTAGTCTAAGATAACTAATAGCCTGGAATCCACCAGATATGAGAAAACCTCAAGTTTATTGAACTTCAAAATGATAAAATAATGCCCTAGCCACATGCTAAAATTGGTTTAAATACTCATAGAAACCTTAGGAATCCAAAAGGAAATAAAAAGGGAAATTAACAAAAGTTTCTAAAAACTAGAAAAATATTAAAACACCTTTTTGGGCTGCTAAACAATCCCGAATGCCCAAAAAAGCCCTTATGTCATGGCAAAGCAATGCGTTTTACTCATGACATCGTTCTCTTCGAAACAACAGGTCATGGGCCCAAATTCGAGATCGGGGCCCAAACTTGCAACTTTCTGATTTTACCTTTGCACGTGCGACACTCCAACGCCTCTTCTATTGCTTTAGCCATATGTTCCACATCATTTTTATATGCTGACTGAATTTAGATGCATGCATGCAGAGTCATGCTATAGTGAGGGCCTTATGTATGGGCTTTAGGTAAGGTCCTATTGCTTAACGTAAATGGTTAAGAGATATCGCCTCATATAAGGACCATATATAAGGTCCTCACTATAGAATGCTTGCTCCTCTGGGTTGTAGCCCAGAGCAACCTTCGGCCCTCGCTATTGTGGTCTTAAAATTTATTGTGGTCACTATAGAATGCTTACCCATTTACCTAGCCTCTTAAAATTTATTGTGGTCTTCAATATAGGGGTAATTTGTAACCACTTGAGTTATAAGCTTCTTACGATATTGACCGTTTTTAGGAAATGCCTATGGAAGGAAAGGAGTAGAAATGGTAGAATATGGTAAGTTTCTGCATGCCACAGAACTAATATTTTGTACTTGTACTAGTATCTCACCGTAAGTTAAGCAAAGCCCCTATTCACATAATGACAAAGTAAAAAGTGTAACATCATAACACATAAACTCCGTCTTCTTTTTTCCTCCAATACACTAGGATGGGATCAAATTCACGACCTATTATAATTCAAACACTTTCCTTATCCGACCCCGCGGACAAGGACGTATGTTTTGATGTCGCTAGAGTTAGTAAAATGGCTTATACAAAATGACATTATTGCTGTCTATTTGTCTCTTAGACAAATACACAAATGCTTAAAACTTTAAGACACTAAACGAAATTCTAGAAATAACAATTATAAATAGAATAAAATCATTAAAACACCGTAGTTGCTTCTCTAGAAAGTGCTTCTATGACCGAGAAATACTTCTAAATTTTTCTATCAAACGTTGTTCGAAGCGCTTTTGGTTGTCAAAAAGCACTTGTAGCCTTTAGAAAAACACCCCTAAAAAGACTAGTTTAAGAATTAAGCGCTTCGGATTTAGCAATTAAATGGAAACTCTAAGACCCTTTTTGTTTGTTTTTGCACAGAATAAAACTCTAGGACGTTGTAGACATACAAGCACATACAACACAAACACCAAAACAAACACCTGCTCTCAAAAACAGTGCTTTATGTTTGTGGACTCTGCATGCCCAAACTAGTTGGCCAGCAAGGATGGTGATAAGATCCCTAAGGTGGGGTAGAAATTGTGAATTATTGGTCCATTTGGGTGTAGAGTAATATCCCATGCCTAGATGTCTTTTCTTTTAGCATTGACGCACATGGCAAGTAGCTAAAACTAAAACAAAAAAAGTAAAGTAAGATAAACAAATTATTAAAGGCATGTCCTCTTCCTTTTTCTTGATGTTTCTTTGAATAACGAAGCAATTGAAAAGTATGAAATGGTTGTTGAGCTAATTGACATGATTGACCCTACCTTGCTGGACCATGCACCAACAAAAGTCGGTTTTTAAGTTCTTTGGACGGTGCAAATTTTTGTCATAGGCAAGGACCACCCAAGTTAAAAGTTAGGCACATAACTTTTTCCACATTTAGGACAACAATTACATGTGTAAGAATTAACAATATTTAGGTAAATAACATTAATGTATTTTAATGACACATTTTTTATTTCGAGTTATTTACACTAATACCCTTTGAGGTTTTCAGTATTTTCACAAAACCTCCTGAGATTTTAAAAATTATACGAACACCTCTTGAGGTTTCAAATTGTTTTCACAAAACCCTTTTTGTTGATTGTTAGTCCAAAAATTGATGATTTCATACAAAATAACTTATGCAAATGAAAAAATTAACTTCTATGAATGTATGTGCAATCTAATCTCAAAGGCTAACTTTGCCAGGATATTTTTTATATATAAAATCATCAATTTTTAGACGAATAATCAACTAAAACAGATTCTATGGAAAAAAAAAATTTAAAATCTCAGGGGTTGTTAACGTAAATAACTCTTTCATTTTATTTATGGAATACCTTATTAAATAGTACCTTTTATTTTGATATGTTGAAACTCATATTTCAGAATCATGTTTTCTGTTTTAATTGTTGGGTTCGATGTCCCTCCTTAAGTGGAGGTTTTTTTGGAATTCAATGGACTTAATTGGCATTGGTTTTTGTTTAAAAATAAAAGTAAAAATTGAATGGACTTAAATTAATTTAATCTAAGTTCGAACTTGGGTGCAGGAAGACGGTTCACTGCCGTGCCCAATTGGTCATCAAACCACTTAATCTAATTTTTATTTTTGTTTCAAGCACAGTGTTGTCATCAAACCACTTACGTTCAGTCCCAGTTGGCTAGATGCGACTGGTGTTCCCATCTGGGTTTCTGCCTCAGATCGCTTCTTAAATTGTGAGTGGTTTCAACTTGCATGAAAATCTGATGAATTTAGCACTATGGTGTCCCACTAGGTGCCAAAAATGGTAACCTAAAAATAATTTACAACCTATTTTGCAACGTCCTTGGTTGAAATAGATGTGGTCGTGCTAGTACGCCGCAGAAGGCCAAACGTACAACTTGTGTTGGTGATGCGATGGATATGGAAGTTGTCAAATGATTGTGGCCGAGAAAGGAACACCTCTATGTCATAGGCTTTCCCATCTTGAAAACAAAGCGCAGTGTGCTCTCCAAAGGTTAAATATATTGGATCCAAATAGTAAAATTTAACCCAGACTCGAAAGTGCAAGTATGTTGAACCATTTTATGAATCGCACATGAAGATGGTGAAATCAATAATTTCACAAAGATGTTGAGAACCACCGCATCTATTCTGTATTCTTGTGTATCCACCGCATCTTCCTTACATATGCATGTTGTATCCAAAAGTCAAACTTTACAACAAGTCAGCTAGATACAGATTTGGAATGTCTGATATGCATCGAGGTGTTTTGGGGGCGTATTAGTATTGGATACTCCATGCCCGAAACTTTTGGAGTATCTGTGCTTCATTTTCTTGAAGCTTCATCATGGTGATAGGCTGTGCCCTAGATTTGTTCTTGAAGCTTCATTTTCTTCTAGTAGTCTGGATGATAGCTCAGGTAGAGTAATTGAATAATAGTGGAAATTGCAAGGCAAAAACAGATAAATAAAATACTTTGCTAAAATCTGCTACATAATTTCTAGTGTCTAGATGTCTTTTAACCCTCTAAATATGATTTCTTTTATATGATAATATCCTCCAAATGTGATTTACATCTTTTTCATGCTTCTGGTTCCAGGGCATAGGTCTTTCTACCCTCACTCTATGGATTACTCTAATGATCAGTTGCAACTGGGACATGATGGTGATCTGATAGACTCTGCGCCCCTTCAGTGGACAGAAAGAAGGCTGGTAGTGAGATGATGATTGCTCTTGTCAATAATGTATCTAGGATATTACATAGCATCAATGCTGGTGGGGAAAGATTGAGAGGAGACAAGCTCACCCATGCCAATGAAGTTATCTTGAAAGCTGAACTATTGTTTGGAGATGTGACTTTGCATAAAATGGATGTAATGAAAGGGCTTTTCATCAGTCCCTTGCTTCTTGACTTGGAAACCATTACCAAAGCATTATTCATGATCACACTCACAGCCAGCTCATTTTGAACTTTTTGTAATACTCAGCGTGAACTTTTACTTTTTTGAATTGCAAATACTTTTTTTTTTCCTTCAATATTATTTCTTTTTTCTTTTTTTTCTTTTTTGCTTTTTTTTTCCTTCTTGCAATTTTGCACAAACACCTTAGTACACATCAATTCTTTGGGGTAGAGCTCAATGTTCTTATTTTCATCACTTTGGCACATCCTAAGCTATAAGGTATGGCTTAGAAATTGGTTATATATAGGTTAAAGATAATAAGGGTGATGAAAGAAAGGCTAAGTGTTTGGTTACAAAAGGGTTAACGACACACACAAAAGGTAGGATGAAAAGCCTTTTAGTTGGTAAAAACATGCATAGCCTAACATCATTTCTCATGGTCCATCCCACTTGGAAGTGATGTACCTACAAAAGTAAGAGCATTCTTTAGTATCCAATACAAATCTAATGAGAGCAATCTAATTAAGAACAAATCGAAGAGTGTTTAAGAGTAGAAACAATAAAACCCCTCTCAAAGAGTGGATTTTGGCTCAATATCTCACAACGGTAGTCTCCATTAATATTCCATAGTCATTCGAGCATAGCAACCTTGTCCACCAAAATATTACGAGTATGGTATTGTGAAGTACAAAGATTATAATGCAATAACCCTTCATGACAGCATATTAGTAAAGCATTCCCAAAACATGGTATATACGTCTCTATTAGCAATAGCTTTAGCAAGAATTCACATTTCGAAAAAAACTACTTCTTTTTAGTTTCAACCTCAGATCAATTTTCAGTGACTATCCCACAAAGTACTACACGGAATTTGGCAAGCCTTTATATGTTCAGAAAATAGACAAACAAACGAACAACTTTTCTTTCCACAAAATATCAAAAAACAGATTAGAACTGCATGGAAATTGATGTTAAAAACAGAAAACAGTACATAATCGCAGAAAACTTCCAGTTCCTTAGAAACACAGCTGTAACTTCCAAATGAAACGTCAGAAAATTAAGACCCTTGTATGGCTGGATTCAGCACAAAAAACTGAAGACAGCAGCACTAGCCAAGTCTTCAAATCCATTACAGATGAAAACAGTTTGATCGAAACATAAACACTAACGTTTTTCATAACGAATGTTACCCACCTTAAACCTAAACCAAACATTCTCCTCAATGTTTAAAAAGAAAATAAAAATGAGGACAAGGAATAGTAAAAGTAATGAATGCACACAAACGAATATTAAAAAGATAAGAAACAAAGGTACCTAGTTGGGTTGCCTCCCAACAAGGGCTTAGTTTAGAGTCAATAGCCCGACTTTTGGATGCATTTACTTGGGGTCATGGAGGAGGATGGTGGTCTCCTCCTCAAGAAATGCTACTGCCACATATGGTTTGAGTCGATGTTACCCAAAAAAAAAAGTATTCATGTTTACATATACCACATGTCATCCAAATGTGTACCATTCAAACAAGATGTGCATGACTAAAGTGTTATTGGTTGATGAGGGATAACCCAGAAAGAATGATCTAACCTATATGTCAACACGTTATGTAATTAAATTGCATTATTAGGTAGCGGAGGTATAGGAGATTCATTTACTTAGTAAATTAGAACGTTGGTTAGGCATAATTAGGGCTGAGCATTGGAACCAAAGAATTGGTAAGAGAAGAACGGGACTAGAAAAAACAATAAATAAATAAATAAATAAAACCATAGTTGACTAAAAAGTCAACTTTAGGTCAAAAAATCGAACCAGACTTGTTTGGTTCAATTACGATTACGATTTTCGTAGTGAGAAAGCCGGTTTGAACCTAACCCAAGTGGCTGTGTGATTCTTATTTTATTTTGCCAAATATTTAAGCCCAATGTCAAATTCCCAAGCCCAAACCTAATGCTCTCCCAAGCCAAACTCCAAATCACATGTCATTTACAAGCCCAACCCTGTATTTTAATGTATTTTAACTCTATTACTAAATAACCTAGCCCCACCTTTATCTTTCTTTAGAGCATTTCTAAGAGTATAGGCAAATGAAGTAGGCAAAAGTGTACTATATAGACTTATGTGTCGTGTTGCCTATCGACTCTTGGAAAAAACTGCTCACTCCAATGGACAAGGCAAATGAACTACGCAATGTTGCCTACTACACAAATTATCACTCTTATGAAATTAGAAAATAGTTGTTCACTAATTATAAATTTTCTTATTGAAGTAAAAAAAATAAAAGTTCAACCCCACTATATTATTATAGTTTATTATTATTTAAACTAAACTTACAAATATTGTTTTACTTAAAAGTTTTGGAGATTTTCCTGTTAATGTTGGATTTGCTTTGGATAGTATTAATGTCACTTTCACAATGTCCAGTTTCGAATTTACTTTTGTTTCATCAGTTGCTCAACGTTAAAGCAATAACACCAGAAAATAGAAGCAAGAACAAAAAGGCCACGGAATAGATAGTCGAAAAATCGGAAAATCCCCATGGAAGAGATGGTAATGACCCCCTTGTAGATGTTAGTTCTGGGTTGCAAGATTTGACCTTTTCCAATGTTCTTTCACATGTGGGAAGCAAAGTAACCCAATATAACCAACCAGTTTTCCAGTTGTTTTAGGAGAATTTATTTGTCTTCACAACTTATTTTGGACAATTAGATCAAATCATTTAAATCCAGCCGTTGGAAAAGTGGATGTACCTATACAATGGCCGTAGAGCAGAATTTTTGGTATAAAGGTGTTGGCAAAACAACCATGCGGAACCATATGTTGAACAAAATTTTCTGGAGGAAACAGAAATGCTTACAAAGACCAAAAATCCAGATGCATCATAAAACAAGAGCTACTTTCTCTCTAAGCAGTTTCAGAAACATGTTTGTCCAAAAATGCCTTGGCTAGATTACTGAAACTGACACTCACTTCTTTAGCTGCAGCATATCTCTTCATGACATCAACCACCTCTGGCTTCATAATCTCCCCCTTGTTAGATGCGTTGCATAGATAATAAAGTGATCCAATTGCATAATTCACCTAACAATCAATTAATTTGTCAAATATTCTATATCGTCGTTAAAACATAAATCGGTTTTCATTACAAAGCATCAAGAATCAGGTTGGTCAATCAAAATGTTTGTGGTGTATAAACAGTTTCAAATGCACACATTATTTTAAACTAGGTATATCGGCTCAGTTCAGAGTGCCTCCTCTTTTGTAAGAGTTGATCAGGTCCAACTTTTGAATCCCATCCCCAGGAAACAATTAGAAAAACCAACGAGAATTATGAGGCTATAAAACACACATGAACTACTCCTGCAACCAAAAAAGAAACAGAACAAGCACGGCATGTGCACACCGACACAAAGTACAAGTTCCTACTTACAGTGTTTCTAACTGGGCTTGATAAACATTGAATAACAAGAGGGATCCCACCACACTGAGTGATAACTACGGCATTTGCCGGATCTGCAACTTAAAACATTAACGTTAAAACTTAAAATAAATACACAACTCACATAGTAATGCTAGCTACTTACTAGCAGTAATGGTGTCTTAAGAAACTAGGAGTAGCAGAGTCGGTATAAGGATTAAATAGGTAAACTTACCGGCGCAGCAATTGCAGATTCCTCCTAAACCAAATTCCACCAGCTTCTCATTCGGTTCTGTTATGCAGTCCACAAAAAGTTCCAACACGTTGAGCTGTTTGTAATCTTAAAATGCTTATCAGGCTAAAATGGTCATGGAACTTTTATACCAAAATAGAAAACTGAAAATCAAAATACGTTTTATACCTGCCGCAAGAAGGCATAGTTGTAAGGATCATAAGCAAAGTTGGCCAAATTAGCAACAACTTTCTCTTTTGTCTCTGTACAGAAAGAAAAGAAAAAATAACTAGTCAAATGACCTTGAGATGAATCAGTTGTCATTGACTCATCAGAAGAATTCTAACACCAGATACCCTGTCCCCTGCCTGATATCACAAAATTACTGACACTCAGTGGAAATGAAGATCAAAATCACAACAAATTTTTCATTGCCAAGTTTGAGACTAGTGCTGCAAGTGCTAGGTTATCACTTGTAATCATGAAAATGCACAAATATAAGAAAGGGGTCTAGGCACCAACATAAGCAACGAAATCCAAACTGCAGAGAGATAGAGAGCTATAAAATTCAAGGAACAAGGTTGAAAGTATAGGCAAGGGCAAGGCCATACCTTCATCATCTGTTGTATTCTGAAATTGAGAAACCAATTCCTGGAACAAAAAGGAAGACCTAAGCTGGATAATAATAAAATTTTCAATTAACAAGAAGACGGATTTCTACAGTGTAGGGTCAGTTACCTGAAGGTATTGCAGCCTTGGAGTTCCAGATCTTCCAGTTCGCTCTTCTTGCCTCCGTTCATTCGTAAACATTATATGCCTCCGAGCGCGAGGAAGAAGAAGAAGAGGGGACGCCTGTTTTTCTCTTCTTTTTTTCCTAGGTTACTAAAAGAAGATAAGAGAAACGTTAAACAAATACGACGTCGTTTTGGCTAGGTCGGTGTCAAAACAAATTTAAAGAGGCGCGCTGCCTTTGCTGCGTTTCAGTGAGGAATTTTATCGAGCGGGTGGTACCACTCTTGCCTCCTATGGTGTTTTCCGGCATTCCGGGGGTCAAGTGACCACCCTTTCCCCCAACGCGCCTTCTCCAGCGGTTCCTTCCACTCGCACGGCGTCGTATTGAGACCGCTCAAGCTCAGGTCGGCAATTTTTTACTATTTGATTGTATTTGGATTTTCAGCTCTCTGTCTGTTTATCTATGTAGCTCTACCTCTGGCTTTTCAGCTCACTTCATCTAATAGTTCCATTGTTTCGAGCATGCCTTATTATAGTTCTTAGTTGGCTCTCAAGGAACTTGGTAGAGATACTTAGGATGGTCATTGATTCTTTGTAATCTTTGTATGACCGCAGCAAGACATGATTTGCAAACATTAGTAGACTTTGGATAATTCGTTGCCATTTGGGATTAATTCTTTTGAAGTTATGATGCTGATTCTGCTGAAGCAGTAAAATAAAATGATTAAATATAGTCCACAAGGACCACAACCTTGCAAAGCCCCGACAGCCAGCACTGGCATGGCTTCATGGGTTGGGAAATTGAGAAGAAATAACAAAGAATGATAATTAACTTGTTAGGCTACTGCATAAGAAAATTATTTCAACCATTCAACTACTTCATCATGCTTTACTTTTAATTTGCACCACCTTTATTATTGTAGTACGAGACGTAGTGAATTGAGATGATATACAAATGACAGTACTCTTATTCATGTGGTGCATGCTTGTTAAGTCAATTGCATTAATCATTCTCTTGAAGGTTAAGCTTACACCAATAATTACAGCATTAGCCATAGATTTCACTTAATCCCCACTGCTAATCATATATTCTCTTTCTCTAACTTGATTGTATTCTGAAGTTCCAACTAAAGTCAACATTTTATGTAAAAGTTAAGAAAAAAAAAGATTGATAATGAACCCATTGGAATAGAGAAGAATCTTGTATATAGAACTGCAAAGCAAAACAATAATTGAACCCATTAGACCCTCATAAACTTCTGACTCCAACACACATCATTACAAGCAGAATTATACATACCCTTGATCAAGAAACAACATCTCTGCCTTTTCATCTATACTCAAATCCTGAACTTGAAGTCCCAAATACGGTATAGATGCTGTCTCTACCAATCCTGTCATAACAAAACTGCCTGGGAAAAAAATTAATCTTATTATTCTGAAATGTGAAATATCATCCAGTATTAAACATAATTATACGAGCATTGGCAGACTAAGTACTAAGAACCCACCTCAGTCCACAAGCAAGTGATGTTAAGGACACTGTTTGCCATTCCCAGGGCACCTCTCATCGCTTCAAAATCTACCAGTCCACTCCAGTTTCCTGCTAATTTCACCCAAAAAAGTTTTTGATTTTAACCTTTGTTATCAGAGTCGTTCTGTTTGAGTCAACTGAAAGCTAGTTGGAGCTGAAAAGTGATAACATCTTCTGCCTTTGGGCTTTCCTCCGCCATTGAAAAAGAAAATTTAAGGCGACATTCTGACACTTTTGAGCCTTGAAAGCTGGGTTGATTGGTGTGGAGAAAACATGGCGTTAAAGCTTCTGTGGGCATTGAGAAAAAGGGCATGGCTTTAGTTTTTGGAGGAACTTAGCTTGGGTGAGTCTAAGAAACTTCAAAAGGAAGATTGAACTAGAGATGTGAATAGCGCATAAACCATTTCTGGTTTTAGTAATGTATTTGAATTTGATTTTTGAAACTTGGGTGCTTAATGCTTAATGAATTATCCAAATTCTTTGTAATAACCATAATGAAAAAGTTAGAAATAGTTACAAGTGGTCATCCTAGACTTGTAATTCCTTTTGAGCTCCTCTTATTTGTGTAGAACTGGTACCAACATTGTCATTTGTTACTGTGCATTGTCTATATCTTTCACCCAATGAGTCAGTGCCTTTTGCCATTGAGTGAATGTTTGTATGGCTATGGTTGGTTTGGCATTAATCTAACATGTGATGTTTTTCTTCATTTTGTTATGTGGGAAACTTGCAGGATGGGCAATATCCCCAACCTTCTGACCCTGCTTATGAGCAAGTACTGGATTCCTTAGCTATGGTAGCTCGACATAAACGCATAACTCTTTTAGAAGCCCTTCTAAGATGGAGAGAAAGGTGGGTTTCTCCCTTTTCCAAAGATATGCGGAGGCATTGTTGTTGATCTGAGTTATTCATTGTTTTCGGTCTAACCATATCATTTTGTAACTGGGAAAATATTTTTCTTGCAGTGAATCCCCAAAAGGTGAAAATGAGGCATCTACATTCGAAAGAAAGGTTTGTATGGGGACTAGTTTGTCAAAAGCTTGTTTCTTTGACCAGATGCGTTGGTACTTTATTGTATATGGTGGAGGTCAAGAAAGTTCGGCCTCTAACATCAATGCAGTTCATAGCTCTTTATTGCATAAAATAGCATCTAAAAATATCAGAGTTTATGAGTTTTTTCATTATTTTCAATATATGTCAATATATATGTATTTGTTATTGGGGAGTCTGCTTCATTAGTTATAACTTTCATACTATGTTTACTGAAGCCCAGCATGTGGTGGAGTGCATTTTTTGTTCAGCATGTATTCGCTTTTTCGAGTGCTGTCCACAAGAAGGACTTACAGGTTAGTTCATTGCATTGCTATTTTATTTTACCTTGAGGCTTGTGAAGTTGTGCTATTCAGTGAAATAAAACAAGCTTTGTTCTTACTGCAGAGAAACTTTGGTTGGGGCTTGAAATCTCTTTACCAACAAACACAACAACCCAATTACTCATTCTCTACTCTAGCACAGAACCAAACAACACCCACCAAGAATTTCAAAACATTCTCCCATATTTTCCAGCAATGCTCCCATGGCAGAGCTCTGAATCCGGGAAAACAAGCCCATGCTCGCATGATAGTTTCTGGGTTTGAGCCCACTGTCTTTGTTACAAATTGTTTGATCCAAATGTATGTAAAGTGTGGTGTTTTGGAATATGCAAGTAAGGTGTTTGACGGAATGCCACAGCGGGACACGGTCTCGTGGAACACCATGATTTTTGGGTACGCTGAGAGTGGAAAGATGGGGTTTGCGCAGTCTTGTTTTGATGTTATGCCTGAGAGAGATGTGGTCTCTTGGAATTCTTTGATTTCAGGGTACTTGCAGAGTGGTGACTATCATAAGTCTATTGAAGTTTATGTGAATATGGGGAATGTGGGTGTGGAATTCGACTGTACTACGACTGCTATGGTTCTGAAAGCATGTTCTGTTATGGAAGATATTGGTTTGGGGATTCAAATTCATTGTGTTTCAGTCAAGATGGGTTTTGATATTGATGTGGTCACGGGAAGTGCTTTAGTAGATATGTATGGGAAGTGTAAGGAACTGGATTGTTCACTTCAGGTTTTCCGTGAATTGCCTGAAAAGAATTGGGTTTGTTGGAGCGCTGTGATTGCAGGTTCTGTTCAGAATGACCAGTTTGTCAAGGGTATAGATCTGTTAAAGGAGATGCAGAAAGCAGGAGTCGGGGTAAGCCAATCAATCTATGCTAGTGTATTCAGGTCCTGTGCAGGATTATCTGCATATAGGTTAGGTACTCAGTTTCATGTACATGCTATAAAGACAGACTTACTATATGATGTGATAGTTGGAACTGCCACATTGGACATGTATGCAAAATGCGGCAGTATGTCTGATGCTAGAAAGATATTCAACTTGATGCCAAATCATAGTTTGCAGTCATATAATGCAACTATTGTTGGCTATGCTCGAAACGAGCAAGGTTTTGAAGCTCTTGAGTTATTTCTGCTTTTGCTGAAGTCTGGTCTTGGTTTTGATGAGATAACATTATCTGGTGCACTCAGTGCTTGTGCAGTGATCAAGGGGCACTTGGAGGGGCTTCAACTGCAAGTATTAGTGGTTAAGAGTAGCTTGAGATCAAATATATGTGTAGCAAATGCCATTTTGGACATGTATGGTAAATGTGGAGATCTGTTTGGGGCCTCTCGCGTGTTTGATGAGATGGTAAGTAGAGATGCTGTGTCTTGGAATACAATTATTGCAGCTCATGGACAGAATGAAAATGAAAAGGAGACACTTTCATTCTTCGTTTCCATGCTCCGCTCAAGGATGGAGCCGGATGAGTTCACCTTTGGCAGTGTTCTAAAAGTGTGTGCAGCTCAACATTCTTTAAATTATGGGATGGAAATCCATAGCAGAATTATTAAATCTGGAATGGGCATGAACTTGTTCATTGGAGGTGCCCTTGTCGATATGTACTGCAAGTGCGGAATGATGGAAGAGGCAGAAAAGATACATGACAGAACAGAAGAACAAACCATGGTTTCATGGAATGCAATCATATCTGGTTTCTCACTACATAAGCAAAATGAGGATGCACAGAGATATTTCTCTCAGATGTTGGAAATGGGTGCAGAACCTGATAACTTCACATACGCAACGGTTCTTGATACCTGTGCTAATTTGGCTACTGTTGGACTTGGGAGGCAGATCCATGCTCAGATTATCAAGCATGAATTGCAATTAGATGTATACATAACCAGCACTCTTGTCGATATGTACTCAAAGTGTGGCAACATGCAAGATTCTTATCTAATGTTCAAAAAGGCACCTAAGCGAGATGCTGTTACATGGAATGCCATGATTTCCGGGTATGCAAACTTTGGCCTTGGAGAAGATGCCCTTAGAATTTTTGAGAACATGCAGCTTGAGAATGTTAAGCCAAACCACTCCACTTTTGTTTCAGTACTCCGAGCCTGTGGACATATAGGACAAGTTGAAAAGGGGTTACATTATTTCCGCACAATGCGTAATGACTATGGTTTACACCCTCAGTTGGAGCATTACTCGTGCATGGTGGATATCATAGGGAGGTCAGGTCAAGTTCATGAGGCTCTGAGGCTTATTCAAGATATGCCTTTTGAAGCTGACGACATTATATGGAGGACGCTGCTTAGCATTTGCAAGCTCCATGGAAATGTAGAAGTGGCTGAAAAAGCAGCCAGCTCTATTTTGCAACTGGATCCTCAAGATTCTTCTACCTATGTTCTACTATCAAATATATATGCTGAAGCTGGAATGTGGGGTGAGGCCTCGAAGATGAGGAAAACAATGAAGCGTAACAAATTGAAGAAAGAGCCTGGTTGCAGCTGGATTGAGGTGAAAGATGAGTTACATGCATTCCTGGTTGGGGACAAGGCTCATCCAAGATGTAACGAGGTGTATGAGAAGCTCAATTTGCTAGTTGCTGAGATGATGAGAGTTGGATATAGGCCGGAAATTGATGTCCTGCTTGATGAGGAGATGGAAGAACAGGAGCTTGAAGATAAGCTCAAAATTAGTATGCATAATGAGTAGTTTAAAATTCATTTTTCTTGTTAGAATTCAGAATACGGAATGAGCTGGGAAATGAATATGAATGAGTTGGAAAACAAGTCAAACAACATGTTCACAAGAATGACCAATTTTTGCAAGTCCAATCCGCAAAACAGTTCTTAATTTAGCCTCCTTCATATGAGCACAGTTACCTTATCTCGCATCAGGTGACTGAATATCAAGTTATCATAATTGGAATTGATGGAATTTGCTATCATTATCCTCCACTCCTAATAATTTGATACCTTTTACAGCGATAAATAGTTTTTTTACCTGTACAAATTATCATGGTGGTCCTGGAATTGTCTTGTTTATTTTGTGAATATTCTCATTTTCAAATCTCTTGTACTTGCCACTAATGGGGCCGTTGGTGCATGATAAATTCATGTGCCACAGTTACAGAGGCATCTTTTGGTATTTGGATTTTCACTCTGATTATATGCTAGAATTACAGGTTTTTCTCCCAAAAGGGTTGTTCTCATATTCTGTGGTTGTAATGTTTCCCTTGAAGTTGGCTTTTAAATGTTTTCTTTGGGATGGTATGGTTGGTGTTTGGTGTTTTATTTCCTTTTACATTGTCAGGTCAACTGTTTTTTTCCTCCCCTTTGTAATTATTGTTAAATATGATTTTTCTATCAAGCTAGTGCTGTTTATATTTGTCATTTAATTGCATCCTCCCCTAGCATGTTTATATTTTTCATTTAATTTTATGCATACATTTTTTGTGTCAGGTTGGTTACCCTTTGGTAACTCTTCTATGTCTTGGTGATGGTGCAATTTTCATCAACAACTTAAGCTCTCACTTGGATCAACTCTACAAGTTTCTTAGAGTGAGTCCAAGAACAAATTTGCATAGAGGACAATAAAGCATGCATTTGTTTAATTGGTTGTTGTGTCCCTGGTCCAATCATGTTGTCTTATCATGTTAATTTGTTGTGGGGTAGGAGCCTATCCTTATGGTCTTTCATTCAGGTGTAAGTTGTATGACATTATGACATTATGTGGTTTATTCATTTAGGACAAGACCCATCGTTTAATGGCCTTGGACTGTCTTCCCTGAGTTTTGAGCTTTTACTTGAGAGTCCACAGAGAGGATCAGCCACCTAATTGTACATGGGACTACTTAGACAGTGTAACCTCACAACACTTGACAGTTCTGAAGAAAGGAATGCATACTCAGGACATCCAACATGATAAACTTGTGGAGTTCTGTGTGACCTTGATTTTGCCATGAACCATATGATAACTCAAATTGCTGAAGCAAGATAGTACTAGTGTAGCAAAGGTTATTGGTCTCTGTTCTTTGCTTGCCATTGTCATGTCAACTTCAAGTAGCTGAAGTTTTCAACTGATCTTCATGTCAGTCTTCATTTGCCAAAAATATGAACCTGAACCAATATTATAATCGATGTCTTGAAAGAGCATGAGGTGTGTTATCTTCCTATCTTTAACCATCTCTATTCATTCCCCCTGTCCTGCTTTTCATTTGAGTTGCAATGTTGCAAATGTGTATCTTATTGTGTTTCATTCATGGATCTTTTTCTAATGTTTCAGGGATGACATCATGCAGAGCTGCTATTGGGATTTTGGCATCCATTTGATTTTGGACGAGAATCTGATGCAACCCCTCCTGACATGACACTTCAATCTGTAATATTTGGGAGCCTTGATAAGAACAGGTGGGCTTGTTGTCTTAGTGAGCTTGTCAAATACGCAGCTGAACTTTGCCCAAGATCTGGCCATGAGGCAAAGTAAGTATATTGTTGTTTACGTATAGTAATTTTAACACATGTTTATTTTAATTTCAAAAAAAGATGTATGTTCCTTTCCAGTATTGGCGTGCTCTTCTGAGTTTGAACTTATTGTATTTAAGAGTGGCTCAACTAAAGAAGGGATTACTAATTTGTAGAGTTTGCGAACAAAAAAAATTTTGGGTTGCACATACACGTTAAATGTTTTTGTTAGACACGATTTCAGTGCATTTGTGCTGGGAACATGATTTTGCTTGTATGGCTATATTGCTCTTATCTTTTACATGCTTTATTAGGATCAGTATTTCCAGGTCAACCCAAATTTCAAGACTGAAATTCCACTATCTTATCGCAACACAATCTTTATTTTTAGGGCAGAGGTTATGCAACGTCTGGCTCATATCACATCTGTTGAGTTGGGTGGGAAGGCTAATCAGTCACAAGATGCAGACAACAAATTGGATCAGTGGCTTATGTGTGCGGTGTTTGTATGTTCGTCCACCAAATAATAGAGAAGCTGGTAGTATAGTTGCAACCCAAGATCTTTACCACCTAATTTTGTCCGTCTCTAAAATCTTGATCTGAGGCACATATAGTAAGTACTGTGAGAGGTTTGTTTAATTTCAATAAAACCTTTCTCTATTCTCTTTTTCTTGTTTCTGTGAGTACAATAAATTTGTCGTGGGGTGTCAGAATCTGGGGTCAGTTCTAAATCCATACTGTAGGATGCTATTATGTTACTACTAGTTTGAGGTCTGTAAAGGTTTGCTCTAATTAGAGAACTTATAATCTTTTTCTTTGATAACTATTCCATGCTTCTTGATTCTTTTCAACTGGTTAGACTAAATTTCGTCTCTAAATTTAGCATGCAGCCGCAATGACTCTTGGCCGCTCGCATCTGGAAGCTTGTGAAATCATGTTTACTGAGCTTGCTGCATCTTTCATTGATGAGGTTTCTTCTTCGGAGACAGAGGGAAAACCAAAGTGGAAGGTGCTGTATGGTTAAACTCCTCAAATTTCTTTTATTTGATGCTTTGACATTTGAAGAAGACACTGAGCATTATGGCATTATCTATTTTCTGAATATATACTGGCGAGTGCGTCGATTTGCAGTACTTTATAGTTCTGTTACTTGATATTGAACTCTAGACGACTTATGGTATGCTTATTGACTTTAATAGTACTTCTAGAATTTTTTTTATTTATCATGTTATTACAATTTACGTATCATAAATAAATGGGTGAATTTCGTATCTAATATAACAACTTTCGTAATAAGCACGGCAACCTCTCATTCCATGACTTCGATTTAGAAATTCACTTATAGCGACATCAAGGCAATCATTGCAATGCAAGTCATAAAGGTCCCAAGTGAATTGAGCTGCACCATAAACTAAATCTGTGCTCGATACCCCAAACATGAGGTTCCCATAAGCATACAACAATCGACTAACATAAGCTTGAAAACATAATTTGTATAACAACTCGTGACCTTTTTTCATCAAACAAGGGAGCATCAATGATTTTGTATTTGCTATAATAATTCCATTAGTTGTGTCAATTTCATGTAAGAAATAGGCATCTCAGTATTTTAAGAGACAATCCTTGTACCAAATTATACCTCCTTTCTTCGCGAATCTCTTGACTTGCTATATTAGCACAACTGTTGCAAATCGGGGCGGATTTAAAATTCCAACATTGTACTGGCCCATATACATTATAAGCAACATCAAATTCGATGTGTAGCTTAGATGCTGGTTTAGATAATTGTGTCAATAAACGATCCAAGTTAGTGACTCAATTTCCATCTAGATTAATTGTTAAGAATAAATTAATAATTAGAAAAATCTTGAAAATAAAAGGGGATTTAGTGAGGAGTAATGCTACACTTACCACATTATTATCCCACATTTCTATACCACATGATGTGGCATGTCCATATCATATGACATATCAATTAAATGAATGAAGTGTATTTTAATAAATAAAATTAGAAAAACAGAAACTAGTATTTTACATGATGTGATATGTACACATCAGCCGCCACATCATGTGGTATAAAATTGTGGTATAAAAAATGTGGTAAGACTAGTATTATTCTTTAGTGAGTGCCTTCCCATAAATAATACTTCAAGTAACACAGAACTAGCCTCTCCTCTGCAAATGCTTTCGCACCTGCGAAAGTTTTTTTTTAAAAAAATTTAAAATTTATTTTAGAATTAAAAAAGGTAATGGATAGTTGTATTCCATAAAAATAAGATCCATTATCTGATTTTTCTTTTAATTTTAATTTTTTTAAATATGAAAAACTATGAATTTACCATATTATCCTTATTTAATTAATAATTTCAATTCTAAATGTTTATATTAACCAAGGGCACTTTATGATATTTCGAATGTTTTCCAATTCTCTGCCTTTTGCTTTATATATATTAGCCTCTCTGCACGCACTTCCGTGCCTTAGATAAGCTCTTTTTTAGAAAATTTTAAATTTATTTCATAATTAAAAAAGATAATGGGTAGTTGTGTTCCATAAAAATAAGATTCATTATCTGATTTTTCTTTTAATTTTAATTTTTTTTAATATGAAAAAGTGTGAATTTACCATATTATCCTCATTTAATTAATAATTTCAATTCTTAATGTTTGAATTAACCAAAGGTATTTTCTGGTATTTCGAATGTTTCACCATTCTCTGCTTTTTGCTTTATATATATAAACTAGCCCCTTGACACATGCTCACGCATGTGCCAATTGGTTTTCTTTTTTCTTTTTTCTTTTTTATTTTATTTTTAGAATTAAGAATAGATAACATGGGTAGTTATGTTCCATAAAAGTATGACCTATTATTTGATTTTGTTTTTATTTTAATTTTTTTAAATATGATTTTTTTTTAATTTACAATATTATCCTCATTTAATTAATAATTTCAATTCTTAATGTTTGAATTAACCAAGGGCATTTTTTGATATTTTGAATGTTTCACCATTCTCTATCTTTCGCTTTATATATATGGAGAAATGAGAGAAATCGCCCATGATACTAGGATCGTGCCATTGGAGAGTTATTGACCACTGAACCAGCGGTCGTTGGTGTTGCTTTTTCGAATACCGACACCAAGCCGATGAGACGAGAGACTGCCTACGGTCGGTTCGCCTAGAAACCAGTGCTATTTTGGTCAGTTTTGCCGAGCACCGATGGCAGCGAATTGAGAGCAAGAGGCTACGAGATTTGGGCTCGACGACTACTTCGCAGCTTGGACTATGGGTTGTAGACGACGACAAAGACTATGCGAGCAGAGGAAAAAAAAGAGGAGAATGAAAAGACAGAGAAGAGGAGGAAAAGGAGAGAGAAGCATAGAGAAATTTTTCAACAAAAAAAGCAAAGAGAAAAATGGACGAAAAAGGAGAGAGGATAAAAGAAAATAAGATGAAGAGAGGTGGAGAAGAAGAAAAAAGAGAGAGAGAGAGAGAAACAGTTGGGAAGAAGAAAAGAGAGAGGGGCGTCAGGGTGTTAGGGTTACCCTAACATGCTTATAATTTTTTTTTTGGGAGACTTTGGAAAAAGCAAAAGGAGAGAGAATTTTTTTAAAAGAAGTCAAAATGGACAAAATTGCCCTAATTTATTTTTGGATTTCCTAAGGAATCCTTTACATTTGCATGTCTTTTATTTGAAAGTTGAGAGGTTTTTCTGTCTTTTTTGAAAAAGCTTTGGCTTTTTAAAGCTTTTTCCAAAAGTGAAATTTTTTATATGTCTAAAACCTAAATTTACTTTTTTTTTTTAGTATAAGTGATAGTTTAAACTGCAAAATAGGGAGATTTCTCAAATACACATACAACTATGATGTCGTGGGGTTCAAAACTAAGACCTATGATCTGCAAGTCAATGTCATTTCTTAACTCGACTAGACCTTGTTAGTGCTTATAATATTTTTTTTAATTCGAATGGAGAGTGAATAAATAATGCACTTATACATATATTACATAAGAAGGCTAACTATTTTAGTGCTAGATGTCACATCCCGGGATCGGCTCCGCCGTAGCACGATATTGTCCGATTTGGGCCCCCCTCTCTGTCCTCATGGTTTTGTTTTTAGGAACTCATGAGCAACTTCCCAGTAGGTCACCCATTCTGAGATTTCTCTAACCCCAACTTGCTTAAATTCGGAGTTCCCATGGCTCCGAAGCCAGTGAACTCCCAAAAAGCCTCGTGCTAGATGGAGGTGGGGATTGACATATAAAGCACATCACCCCATCTCCGTTGGTCGATGTGGGATGTTACATTAGCTGACATTTGCAACCTTGAGGATTGGTGTTCAAGTTGCCCTTGGGTGTGTTTGGTCTAAATCAGCGGTTTGTAATGGTGGAATCGTGAATTAGACTAGTTTGGTCCAACTTTTTTTAAAATTTTCAGAAGAAATGCCCAACCCTAGTTTTCTCTATGAAGCGACATTGTATATTTTGTTGGGCTTTCTTTGTAATTTAAGTTGGAACGCACATTTTATAATTTGTTCAATTTTCTTATTCAGGAATTAGAATATCACATTCCACCTAAGAATAGAATTCATCCAAAATAAGAAATTCAATTCTTAATTTTGTGTGAGCTCCACTTATTTTTTAATTTCTTATTGTGAAATAACACATGAATTTTATATATGTGGAATTCAATTCCTAACGAGAATTCCAATTCTTTATTAGTAAACACACACATCAATGACAACCAAACACCACGAGTGAAGAAAGAGCAAAGTCAGCCAATCATGACTCAGTCTTCCTCCAAAAAACAACTAGAAAAAACAAGAACGAAGAAAATATTAAATAATAAAATGTTAAAAGTGATGTACTGTCGCTCTACGTTAAACTGGTGAGAAAATTACGAATTGTTAATATCAAAAAAATTGACCAAAAGAAAAAAGAAAAAGGAGAGATAAAAGAACAACCACTCTCTGTCTTTCCTGCACTTTCTCCTACGCCCAACTCCTCCGTGCCAACGCTTATCTGAGATTTCTGGCTACCTCAGAAGTCTTGGATTTAAGCTTGTTCTGTAGCAAAAAGAGTATAAACAATGCCCAATTGGGAGCTGAAGAGTTGTTGCAAGCATGACCAGGTCGTATTCTTAGCGACTATTGGAGTCTTCACCGTTGTGATCCTCGCGGTATGTCAACTTTGGCCTTTTTGCTTTCATTAGAAACTATTTGACTCTGTTTGTTTCCCGAGAAAAAAGCGAGAATAAATTTAAGAGTGGTCTCTCTGATGTATTTGTTCTGCTTTCTTGAAGCTTAAGCGGGTTGAGTCGAGTTGTTGACCGGATAGTTCCATTGGGTTTAAATAAGGGAAAATCTGAGGCCCAAGATGTTATAATTCTTGTACTTCTTCTTCAAGGTTTTAAATAGAAGTTTCTTGTTGATTTTAATGGTGTTTTCTTGGTAGTTGACTGTTGTGGGGAAGTTATGCTAATTAGCTAAATACACAATGAGGCTATGTGGTAGATTAGAATTTAGGAAGCGGGTTAATAGCTACCAAAATAAAACTTTATTAGTTTGTATTTAACATTTTATACGTTTTCGTGTGTGAGGCTATCCCAAGTTTTTATTTTCTCCACAAACCAAATGTCTCTTTGGAAATTATCATTTTGAGAAACTTTTCTCATTTTTTTCCTTTTAATGTCAAACAAGAATGCAAAAGTTTCAACTTCATCTTAGAACCAACATGTAAAAAGGAGGGATTAGCAATGAGGGAAGATGAAAACATGCAACCAAGATGGTTTGGTCATGTGTAACTAGTGACTCTGGTTGATAAGACTATTGACTTTGCACTTGAAAAGTTCGTGGTGCTGTTTGAGGTCGTGAGAAAAGATTTAATGAATATGGGTCAAGGATATGAATATAGAAGAGTAGTAAAGAACACTTTATTTGGTTAATGTTGCATGATTTGGGGAGGGCCTTGTTATGTTTCCTAGCTTTAGTTTGCCTATCTATGTATCTTGCAGGTCAAATTGCAGCTTTTTAAAATCCTTTTTTTTATGAAGTTTTTAATCAATCTCATTAATGGTTTAGCATTTACTTGATCAAGTTGACCTTTTGATCTAGAAGTTTGTTTTGGTTGTTAAAGCTGTGGAGGACAATAATACTCACACCTTTTAAGCTCATCACGGTGTTCTTGCATGAAGCAAGCCATGCAATTGCTTGCATACTCACATGTGGCAAGGTAAGAAGAAGTTATTTTTTGTTTTCTGTTATCTTTGGTGCTTAAATGATGTGATCAGATGGCATAGAGGAAACAACGGTTACTTTCTTAAATAGATGTCTATATTTCAGTTTATCAAAACTTGGTCTTTTATTTTCAAAGTTGTTTGCATGTTGTGTGAGAATTCACCTCTCTTTTACATGAGTTTGAGTTTACACTGAGTTCTGATTGATTGAGGCATTGAAAGAAACCTTAGCCGGCAATGTTGTTCCTCACTTGCCTAACAATATTCAGTTTAGAAGTTAGATCAACACTCACATTTTACTTTTCTACACAAGCTCATAGGCCGCTTAACGTGCAAGCTTTCGGTAAAGAAGGACTAGAACTTGCTTTGCTTTGGTCCATTCTGTTTTGGTCAGGGGCTTAGCAATTTTTTTTAAAGTATATGACCTTAGTTTAAATGTCAGATAATGGGCTAGCTTAAATAGTCAAACGGAAAATTAGCTGCTCTAAATTATAGATGAGGATGATACATTTTATGCTACTCTACACTTGGGAAAGTCCAACTGTAACTTTTCACTTTCAAAGCTTGTTGGTAGTTGAACAGTTGCATATCTTCGATAAGATGTTATAATTATTTCTAATACTATTATCATTTATTGTTATTATTGTTATCATCATAATTATTAACTTTCTCATTATTATCGTTGTTCTTATTTTATTCTTTTTTGTAAATGTTATGTAATCTTAGGATCTCGTAATTTTCCTAAATGTTTCAAATTTAGAATGATTGAAGCTTATCAATGGTGAATGTAAGCACATTGTACCAAGTGTTTCGGTTTTGAAGGCCAACTTACATTAGGCTGGCTAACACATGCCAGTTCGTTAAACATCTTTAGTTTCTAGGTAAGTAGCATCCTCAATCATGGATTTCTAATTTTAATTCGTTTTCAGGTGGAAGGTATCCAGGTTCACGCAAATGAGGGTGGGGTCACACAAACACGTGGTGGTATATATTGTTTGATCTTACCTGCAGGATGTAATACACTTTTGTCCCTAATATTTATTTTTCGTTTCAATGTATCCTTATTTTGTCCTTTGTTATGAGACATTATTTATTGGCATTTGGCATTGACTTTGAAAAGCAATTTTGGAAGTTTTGAGCATGATATGATTGTCTTACTGGATATGTGCGTACATAGTTAACCATATTAAGTTTCTCAATTTATCACACTTGCATTTGATGTGTACAAGCTAAGTTTTCTCCAAATAGTCTGTGTTGGCACAAACGTGGCTTCTGATGCTAAAATAGGACTCTTTAGAAGTTCTCATGGTTTTTTTATATTTCATGCATGCTGGTGTTATATAAAAACCATGCAGGCTTTGAATTCATTTTTTTTTTTTTTTTTTTTTTGTTTTGTGTGGTCTTAGTTAGTACTGTGTTTCTGTTGTTTTTCTAAATAGTTTTGCGTTCTTTAAACTCTTTCTAACTCAAATTTTCAATTTAATGTAAATCTGATTTTCAATGGTATACCTGGTCTAAAGTGCTTTCTGCATCCAGATCTAGGCTCATCATTTTGGGGAATGGCTTTGATACTCGCGTCCACAAATCTCCTAACTGCTCGAATTGCTGCTGGTTGTTTGGGTGTTGCTCTGCTAGTTGTTCTTTTTGTGGCAAAAAATGTAAGAGAGTTATGAATACATATTCCTATTCGCATTTATTAAGCATATGCAGACAATTTATGTTTTAGCTCCATTTTCATAGTTAGAGCTTTCAGGATATTAATTTCCTCATTCTTGCATTCTAAATTCTATTGTTTTATACAGTGGACACTTCGAGGACTTTGTATTGGTGAGTACTTTCACATTTTTTTACTACGTATTGGTTTTTATGCTATCCACTTTCTTCCATACATGATTGATCATTGTTTTCAGGATTCATTGTATTCCTTGCTATAATTTGGGTTCTGCAAGAAACAACAAAAGTCCGTATTCTTCGCTACGTTATTCTCTTTATTGGTACGTTCTTATCTTTTCAAGCCTTTACTTTCTGAGATGAACTTGTTTTGGAAAAGAAAAGTTGCTTATTTTTCCATTTGAAATTGCAGGTGTGATGAACAGTTTGTTTTCAGTTTACGGTATCCTCAATGGTCCTTAACAGATAAATTACCTATTCTGAACTTCCAAATTACAGATGTTTTTAACTTGTGATTATTTTTACAGATATTTATGATGATTTAATATCTAGAAGAGTCAACTCCAGTGATGCTGAAAAGTTTGCAGAAGTTTGCCCCTGCCCCTGTAATGGGGTTGGATGGGGTGTGATATGGTGAGCTTTGTTCAGAGATATGTTTAGCTGTAATGTTCAGAGAGTCGTACTAATGATTAAATCTTGAAGTTTCCTTTCTTGCATAACTTAATAATCTCTATACGCAGGGGACTGATATCATTTATCTTTCTTTCTGCGTCGGTGTACCTAGGGCTCGTCATTTTATCCTGAGGTACTATATGCTGCTTCACTCTGTTTTAGAGGAATTTCTGGAATTTGTTATCCAATTTTATCTGAAAAAGATTACTCTGCTTAACTAATGATCATGGTTAGTCTCCGAATCATTGTATTTGGAAGAGTTGATTTTTCTTGAATGTTTTGAGAGCTTTTCCATGAACCAATTGCGGAACCATTATAATTGTCAATTGTGAAAGTAAAGCTAGAAAAATCATTTCCATGAACCAATTGTGGTCCCCTTAATACTATTTACGATATATTCCTCCCTGTAGATGATGTGCCTAGAGCCTCCTCCTGTCGAGAAATATAGTGAAATTTATAGACATGAGATTTATCATTCAAGGATTTAATTTTATATTTTCTTGAATCATTCAAGGATTTGCTCCACTCTCAGATTTGGAAATGATTATTCTTTTATTTGTTAGTAACATGGATACCCTCGGGCCTCAAATTGTGCAATAGTATTCCAACCCTGCTCAACTTTCAAAGGAACATTCGTAAGGGGAAGAATATATATTTGTTTCTGTAGATAATGTACCTAGAACCTCCTCCCTTCTGGAAACATAGTGAAATATATCTACATGGGAATTATCATTCGAGGATTTACTATGTTCTCTGATTTGGAAATGGTCATGCTTTTATTTATTAGTGAAGCAGATGCCCTCAAACTGTTAGTAAGGTGTGCTAAAAAGCACAGTAGTAATTGTCCCTCTTTTTTGTGTAATACTTTGCTGAAATTGCTTTGACATTCCCTTTATTAGAAAATATTTGGTTTAAAAAATTTGGGGTTTGCTTTAGGAAAGCTTTCGAGTTTTATTAGCTTTTTTCTTGGTTATAGGCTTATAGAAATCATGAATGAAACTTATAAATATTAGATCCCTAATAATATTATCTCTAATACTTATGTGTTCTGTTATTTTCAGGTTCAAACGATTTTTTAGCCTAGTCATCTCGTTGCAACAGGAAGCTTCAGCTATCACTTATTCTTTTCAGTCTCTCCATTGATGAATAGTTAGTTTCATAGAATACTGCATTCTTTCAACCCTTTTGATTCTGGGTTACACCTCGTGATAGTTATTGTATAGGAAAGTTTGTACTGGTGTATCATAACAAAGGCTTAAAGGTGATTTAAAGAAATTGATGTGAATTTCCACGAGTGTAAACCCGAACCTCAAACTGATTTATGGGGACTGCAGAGCAATCCTAGCTTTCTTTTTGTCCAGGTTGATTTATTTCTTGTGCAAGATTTTCTTCTTTTAAGATTTGAAATGTCCTCTTTTGAAATGCACCTGAATGTGCAAAGTTTTGATGACAAATTTGAAATTAAGCCGACTCAGTTGGCTTTTATCTTTTGGTTCACTTCAAGATTCGACAGTATAAATTCCCAGCACCCGTTTTTTTATTTTTTATTTATTTATGAAGAACGTCCTCACTCTTGTTCATTGATGTGCTTTTGTGGTTGTGGGTTTGAAATTGTATAGAACCCCATAAAAAGGACATTTAAGTGAATGACTATATCAAAAGCTAAAACTTGAAATCTCATGCAGAGCTCTGAGATGCTCCAGCATGGTTGCTGACCCTGCAAGTGGAGCATAAGTAAATTCTTACAATTAAATTGACCCCCCAGAGATTATGCTACTAGAAGCAAGTTGACTTTGTAGGCACCATGAATATGGCAAAGTTTTAACTAGGCCCACAAATTTCTCTTTCACTAGCATAATATACCCAAAGTGCAAGTGTAATGGGGAGGCAATAATGAGTAAAGAGGATGCATTACAATTCATAATAGGCTTTATCCACTTTTCTTCCTACGCAATTATCTTTTGACTATTCTTCTTTCGCAATTATTATTAACCTCAAAAGTTTAAGCTGTTAAAGAATGAATGAAAACTGAATATTAAGCTTAACTATCATGTCTAATTAAAAACACATTCAGCTTAAATAAAACTATTAATTATACACTTCTTATATTTTCAAATTACAAAGCACATGGTGCGCTCCTCTCAGATGTAAGTAATCACATCCCATGAAATACTCTGGGTAGCTAGGGGAAAAAGACAGTACAACAAAGTAGAAAAAAAAATGCTTATACCATTTGTATAGTGGCGGAGCCTGGATTTTATGTGTGGAGGGGCCAATATATTAGGATTTAAGGTTGATTTCTTTCTCAGTGTTAAGCTTGTAAATAAATAAATAACCGATTATCTTTAATTTCATATTTTCTTAAATATACTTGTGAAAGAAAGATTTGATTGGCTGGTTCTTTTAATTTTTATTAATTATGTTAGTAGAATCTAGGAGTAACTTTGCCATATTGCTAAGGAAAGAGTCTTTTAGTTGGAGGGGGAAATGTAAATCCCTCTTTCTCTTTATTGTGGGGGGCCACAAGCATTAATTTAATATATATATATATATATATATATATATGTATTGTCCTAAGTTGTACAATGCAAAGGCAATATATATGTTATTTCAGAATTTTGGGAGGGCCAAGACCCTTGCAGGCCTAAGCACACCTCCGCCCCTTTCACATTGTAAACTGATAAACTATACAATGTCATAAAAGTGGTGTACAATAGTCCATGTAGCATTGCCCAACTGAAGATCAAGTTAGGGATCTTCAGAAGTTTTCGTGTAGTTCCATTGATAAATCTGAAAACTAATTCTTTGTCACCTTCATGCATTCCTCTGAGAGAGAGAGAGAGAGAGAGAGAGAGAGAGAGAGTTGCTCTTTAAGTGATCACACTGGTGTGGTTGCTTTTGTGTATGTTATCACCTCAATCAAAGAATGAATTCGAATTACTTTAGATGCATTTTGACATTCAAATGTATGATTAAAAGACAAGAAAATGACAATATATTCAAACAGCCCCACGCACTATACATATTCTTGTTAGAAGATGTATGGTGAATAGAATCGGTTGTCCCTTTGCAGCTTGTTGGGTTTGTTTTGTGTAGAGAATTAGATATAAACCCAAAAGTATTAGGATTTATTATGAATAACTCACGTAATTTTGGCTTCTCGATGTAAGTCCATTCACTATTTTTTTAGGTCAGCAAACGTACCGTAGCAAGTTGATGAATAAGTAAATATTTATGGTTCCCAATTTTCAACATTTTTAATGCCTCTTTTGCCCTCAATAACTTTTTATAATGCCAACCCTTGAATTATTATTTGATTTTATGTTTATTTTAGGTCAATAGTTATTACATTTGACCTTTAAAAAACATTGATCTAATGTCAACAATCTATAATTGTCACTTCATCCTATTATCCGTGTTTTTCTTTTTCTCTTCTCTATTTTCGTTTGTCTTCTTCTTTGTTTCTCTTTCTCTTCGTCATTTTGGGTTCGACTAGCATCAGATTCGAGATAGATTACCGAAATAGATTGATAATCAAACAATCAAATCTTTCATTTTCCAAACTGTATAATCAAAATCCTATACTTTGTGATCTCTATCTCTACATGGATCCCTTCTTTAAAGATTAGAATTAAGCACATGGTCTCCAACTAGACTGCATTACGAATATTTTGGTGCATTTTATCATATCTTCTTCACTAGTCGAATGAATACCATTTGGATTTAAAGGGAGAAGTGGGACAGCATATTGCCTTGTGGATAAAGGAAGTAGTGTACTTCATCCCTGCAAATTGCAATCTAACGATCTTCTTATTTCTTTCTTTCATTTTTCCTCATCGTCCTCTCAGCTTAATGCAATATATTTAGGGTGCTTTTTATGCAGGTGCCTACTTGAAACCAGGCCTTCTCACTTCACTACTTTCTGCATTGCTACTACAACTGGACCTTGACCTTCCATGAATAATGTTAATGCATGCATGCCCTTGAGATCTTCACTTTTTTTGTGTTTCTAAATTTTTATTCAGCAGTATTGAATTTATTGATTATTCCCTCTCAAATGAGGTTTGAGTGACATATCAAACAAGCATAAAACAAAAAGTAATAGGGAAAAACAAAATAACAATTATGGAAACTTACAGGTAACAGGTGTACAGCAACTTAATCTGCTTCTTGTTGAGAAATTGGATGCCATCTTTGCAACTTAATCAGCCACTGAATGAAAATCTAATTCAATTCGTCTACCAAACCAGACCATTACTTCTTTCTGAACAAACTTCACCATATATAAATACATATTAAAACACATTGACAAGTTTGATACAAATTATATGTACGACAAAAAAGAAGTAAAAATCAGGCTACAATATATATGTGGGATACTAGCTAGGTTCACTTGGAAATGGGCTACATTTCAAATAAGTAATGGCTTGTTTGGTACGTCGGACTATACTTATTAATTTATGTCGGATAGTATTAATCTGTTCCGGAGAGTATTGATTGTTTATCAGTTATATTATTAGGTGTTTGGTGTTGTTTTTGATAAATAGTCTAACTAAGTTATACTGTGTTTGGTGCTCCGTCAGATAACATTGGATCAAACTATTTTTTTTAATTTTTAAATTCTTTGATAATTTAGGTGGAAATTTAAATTCACATGAACCAAATTGTGCACCAAGCCATAATATGCAAGAACCATAATATAATTATAAAGTACGCTATAATCTTTCCTTCATCCATGTCTAGGCATAATATAGAGGAAAATTAGTAAAAGCAATTTAGAGAGAGAGAGAGAGAGAGAGAGAGAGAGAGAGAGATATATATATATATATATATATATATATATATATATATAGAGAGAGAGAACACAGTTTATGTCATTCAATGTCGCTGGAGAATATTTGATTCACGATTTCTTATTGAAGCATGTGTTTTTCAAGCCTAAGTGGTTGCTAGTTAAAGAAAAAGGAGAGTCAAGAAAAAAGCACTGCGAAAGGGTCATTATTCAAGCTTCGAAAAAAGCACTGGAACATCAAATATCAAGCTTCCATTTGAATTGAATAATTTACAGCTAAGGATTTGCAATCAATTAATGGAAAAGTGGACAGCAACTTACACATAAGGATTTGCAATCA